GAATACCGCCGCCCATGAACATTTACTAGACCCGAGGATTCCAGATGCGTTGACAGCCTTTTGAAAATTGGGCTCGGCCACCTCACTCACCAGACGAAACGCGAAAGTTAAGAAAATTATACTTCCACTTAACGCAAATCTTCTGTGAGGTCATGGTACTTACCCGGACGAGCCAGCCCATTCGTGCAACAGCCAAAGCTGCTGCATGGCCCTACCACCGTTAAATTAAATTAAATTCAAATAAGGATAGTATATAAAAAAAGAGATAAATTCAGAGAGTTTAAGGGAATCAGTATGATGTCCTTAATGATCAGAATAATCAATTCAAAGACTTTAACCATCCTTTTGGCAACTCAAGTAACATTTGAAAAGCCATTTGACAGCTGACTAACCACTTAGTTAACATCTACGATGATCAGTGTTTCAGAAACCGGGCGTAAATCTTGTAAGTATTCATATACAACAAAAAATCAAAATGAATGTGTGCATAAAATTACACATATTAATAAGAAAAGTAAAAAAGGTGATAAACGGTATTCAGAACTGTAGGTTTTACCCATGGCGCCAGGAAAATATTCCAGTGGGATTAAAAGAAGTTAGCACAAACTTCTAAATTAATTAAGCCCTCGTAGAATAAATTAAAGTATACAATATAATATTTCCATCAGATCTCTCGAATCACTATATAACTTTTGAAGCTTTACTGTCCCGTAGTAATTGACGTTGTATTATAATTAGTAGTTGATTTACGTCAAGGACTAAATGTCATTGACAAGGGTATGCTTGATATTATGACGAAAATTTAATCAGCCTCTAATACCGCTACCCCGAGTGTAGTTCCCATAATATGGAGATCGGGGAATTTAATAATATCAGTGCTATTTCAGATATTATGAAGCTAGATGATAGAGCACTTTCAAAAGGATAACAATCTATTAAAATTTGTAGAAAAAATCGAGGAAAATTTTTTTAACACGGCTGGAATCGAACCTATGTCTGAGGATTCAAACTCGCACAATTTAACCACTAAGCTGATTCCCACACCGTCTGAATTTCAATACTCAAATTCAAAACATACAGCCGCAATCTCGTGAATTGAATGAATTCGAAAAAACGATGTACTACATAAAATACGTTGAAATTTTCGTGGTAGCATTCAGCTGAGACAGAACATTTCATAATACTTTAACTATTTTAGTATTCCATATACAAACAATATCATTAACTAGGGCACGCTTGATGAAGTAAATGATCAAGGCACCTTGGCATTGATCGATTAAACCGTTCCGGTTGAAATCCTGCATGGCGTTGCCGGATTAATGTACAACGTATGCATAAAGTTGATATTGCAATATTGTGCCTTACTTTCTTTATAATTTTAATATTAGTGATATTTGTACTGCAACTGATGATGTTGTGCATATCCCTTGCAGATCGGTGATGACTTATCACTTAGCAAGTTGCTTGTTCGTATCCTCCTTTTTATTGGGTTTGATGAGGCACTGTGGGCATTTACAGTTTCGCCGGACTTGAGGTGGCCGGACGCTCGGGGCACCTAGCCTGAACCTCGGTGTATTATTATTACGCGTTATGGTGACTAAGCTCGAGGGCTCCCGAGGGAGCCTTGGCTCGAGCCGTCACGCTATTATCATTACCGGTTTGGGAGGCCGCCAAGCTCTTAGGGTCTTAGCCAATTATCTGACTAGGATAATTGCTAGATCTTCGTATGACCCATAAAATCTACAACAAAAATCCAGACCCACAGGTCAACAATACGTCAGTTCTTCCTATCAGCCCTTCCTACACTAGCTGCATTTTCTTGCTGAATAGTACTACTCAACCTTGGAAGGAGAAAGAATCCATTCTTACCATCGGTCGCTATTTAAGTTTGGTTTAGAAATTTTGTAAGAAAATACAAACTTCCTGAGCTTAATGTCAACGTAGTTAGTCAATTAGGGTAACTTACATAGTTGGTCAATTACCTTAAGAAACACGAACTGTACATAACTTAGAGCGTTACATTAAGTACTTAAGCACGTCGTGGTTGTGCTCTAGATAAGTTAACGTATTTATAACTAGCTGCTAAAGGCTTTGACGGGATAAACGCAATTACTTTGAGGCACGTCCAGCATTAATTTACCTCTCTTTGGACGAGACTTATGAAAACATGTATTGTTGTGGTGAAACTGGAATATTATGTAGTGTGAAATTAATCAACATCGAAAAAAGACGAATATTTTTGAGAAACCATTGAGCTATACAAATGTTAAACGTATTTGCACATAAAATAATGGCAAAATAGTCATCAGGGTAAAATATTTAGATCACCATATAAGGTGACCAACCTTTTTTGTGCTTGTTAGATGAAATTAGTAAGTCAACGTTTTGATGAATAAGTAACTAATCGAACTTAGCGACAGCCTTCAGACAACCTTCAGACTTCGACTTATAAAAGTATAATTTTTAAATTTATAAAAAAAAAACGAATGGACCGGACAGACGTTATCTGTACACACGACTTAAATCCAACAACAAATAAAAAAAATTGTGAATCTAAACCATTCTCGAATCAACCTGAAGACACACCAAAAAATTTTATTAAAATCAGTCCAGCCTTTTAGGAGAAGTTCAGTGCCATTCCTTGTAAGTTTTTAAAGTCAAAACTACAGAGATAAACAAACAAGCGCGTGCGCCGTCAAAGAGACTTCAGTTATTCAGTAAATATCAAATTCATCTGTAACATATTGCCAAATGTGATAGCCTATTTTGCATTCATATTTTACTAGCTATATTATATATTTTATTACTATTTTACTAGCCTCGACGTTCCACCGATGGAACATTCAGTCTCAATTAATACATTCAACGTTTCGTAGTCGTTCTGAATAGTGTGTTTGTTTGCTATGGAAGATGACGATATTTCTGTAATTTTGAATGAATTTGATGGAAACTTTAATACTGGATCGGATGGCGATCAATCATGTCAACTAAATGTAGACAGAAACCAACAAAATTGGTTCAATTTCAGTAGATTTTAGTTCTGTTCTGCTTCCTGTACTGTTGTTGTTAGTATCATAGAGCACACAAAACGCCAATTGCGAAAGGAGAGTCCTAAACCTTCCTACGTGTACACCTATAACACGAATGGCCAACTCTACTGTTCCCCATGTAAAAGAGTTTTTAAGACTAAGTTTCGCCTAGCCAGCCATGTCAGAGCTCACAATAGGACAAATCCGTAATTGCTGGGGTCTCCGTCATCAAAATCGATGAGGAGGACTAATACATATATATATATATATATATATATATATATACAAAATTGTCGCTATTTCGATTTTCCATGCAATTTTTCCATAATTTCTCATCGTTTAAACCTTCTCTGGACTCCCACAAGTATTTCAAGCCAAAATTAGCCAAATCGGTCCAGCCGTTCTCGAGTTTTAACGAGACTAACGAACAGCAATCCATTTTTATATATAAGATACATAGAGTATAGTAGTAACAGCAAACACAGGGTTTCAAGAAGGGTATATGGACCAGTAAGGAACACTAGAAGACAGAAATGTATCACAGTATGGTTACAGGAAACGCTATGTCGCTCAGGATCACAACTAGTTGAAAGAAATACTGGTCGCTGAAGGAGATAATGATGTCCAAAGACTTAAGCATGTCAATCAAAAGAAAAACATTCAACTCCTGCATACTGCCCTGCCTGACATATGGGTGCGAAACGGGGATCCTCACAAAAACTCTAAGAGAAAAGCGCGGCAGAGCTATGGAGAGGATTATGACGGGGTATAAACGTCAGGATCAATTTAGAAACATAGATCTCAGAGAAAAAACAAAACTCACCACTCACAAAACTTGATTTGCAAAAGTGGAGACAAGTTGAAACCCCATTCCTTTAGAATGGATTATAAAGATCAGGTTTATAGCTTAGGAGAAGCTGCTGTTTTACAAATGACGGATACTTGTCTATTACTAAACCGACGGAAGATTTACTAATAAAAGATTTAACGCAAAAGGAAAAATCGTTTTCAAAGACATGAATCTTTGAAACCTAAAAATCGTTTCATTCTTCAATAAACGTCAGAAATTGCACTAAATCCTTCCACATCTCAGATTTAAGTCAGTACTGTGCTATTAAAAGTACAGTATAATACTGTACTTTGAGTTTTAATAAATTTTTCAGTCGTCACTTGGGAATTCAGTTCTCCTCATCTATTATACGAACCGACGGAATGTGGTCGCCTAAGGTAGCAATTTAAATTTCCTCCAAGCTTAGTCCAAGACATATTATGTAAGATTTTCTCCGCTGGAAAGGCGATTCTTGAGGTGGACTAAAAAGATCTTAAGCTAATATACAGATAGTTTACCTAAATAAATATTTATTTTGCATCGACTATGCGTAACAATGTAATTAGATTCATTTTATGCGTATCTCATTAAAATTAATAAAGGCCCAGGAAACAGCGAGTTGATTAATTAAATGAATTGTATAATTAACTTTTTAATTTATTAATAAACCTTATTAACACTAAACCATTTCGTTGTTTTATTTGAATTTTGTTTCCTTTGTTTCCGCATCGCTGCGCAAATAATAGAAAATGAAATAAATTTGGACGTCATATCATCACGAGTTAAGTTGACGCTATAAAAGTGAACATTTGGAATCGGCTTCGTTGTTTTGTGCGTATAAGAAAAATGTTGTATATTTTTGAGGCCGTCGAATGAGAATTCTCTGAGAGCTGAGTCGGGAACGTCAACTGTTTTAAAACTACCCTCTACCATACATTATACATAGAAAAAATCGTCATATGAAAACTATTAACAAATAAATAATTTAAGTAAAATAAAGGTAATATATGGAAATTAAACAATATAAAATAAAAATATAAACCAATATTTTAATAATATTATGTACGTCGCCAACAATATCATTGGCTCGAGCCATATAAAACGTTGTCTAATACATCTCCGATATTTATGTTCTATGGGAT